CTTGACTAATATAACATGGTAAGAGGTTTTCCTCTCCCACAGAAATTAATATTGAGCCGCATCTGACACTCTATATAACAAGCAAATGGAGAGTAATAGTGAAAAATTCTTGATATATCAGCCCATGTTTGTGAACATATCAGCAATTACACCCTATTGTTCCAACTGAGTCCGTCAGCAGCAATGGAATGACAATTTAACCGTGTATGGGAGAGTACCCAAGTTCTAACCTTGACAAATGTCGATTCGATAGGCTTTCATTTTTTGTGGTTTTGATGTTTTTTTTTTTCCATTTCAGGAAACTCAAAGCAGTAAGCAATCTCTTTTAATTTTTATTATCAATTTGAACTAAATGCTTATTAAAAGGGGGCAAAGTTTAAGAAATAAAGTTACATGATAAAAAAGAGGGGAATGGTAGAAGAAAAAGGAGAGGTGGGAGGGTGACTTATAGGTAATTACAATATCATCAGCAGTACTTAATTTTTTTTAAACCCCACTAGATCAGAAATAGTTTATTTAAAAGACCTTATCCAGTTTAAATTTCTCAGATTCTCCATATGTACTTTACAAATACATAATTTTGTAGGCATGGTAGTATAAATCTGCATGTAAAAATAAACCAACCAGCAAATTAGGGGTTTTTTCCTATCCAATTTGTTTCTGTATCCCCACAAACAAAAGGAATTGGCTAAAGATTGACAAGGTTGTTCGTGTTTCTAAATTAATTCTCTGGTTTATGAGGAAATGCAATCTTGAAGTCTATAAAAAGAAAAAAAGCAAATGTAAATAAGGAGCCATCACTTTATACTTTGTATCCCAAGATATGTCAATTATCTTGAAATGTTGCTCCTTCCCTTCAATGAAGACTCACCATCCAGAAGGCCTAGGGTAGCTAGAGTCAATTCATTTTGTTACCCCTTCATTTCATGTGTCAAGATAGAAGACTGGTTAAGAACAAGATTTAGGAGTCAGACATCCCTTAGTTTGTATCCTGACTCCACTGATTATTAGCTGTGTGATCATGGGCAAGTTACTAAACCTCTCTATGACTTGGTCTTCTCATCTGTAAAATAAGAATAACAAATTGCCTCAAAGTACTGTAAGGAATAAGTGAGATGAGTAGGAAGTACTTAACACAATGTCTCATCCAGTGTCGCTGCCAAGTATTTTTCTATTTCCAAAATAATCATCTTAATATATATATTTTTTGAGCACTTACTCTATGACAGCTTTTTTTTTTTTTTTTAAACAGATTATTTCTGACTCTCACAGCAATGCTGTAAGAGGTGGGGGAGCACTCTCATTTTATAGCTGGAGAAATTGTGGCTCAGAGAGGTGAAGAGGCCTGCCTGAGGTCACACAGTGAATTTATGACTGAGCAGAAGTTGAAACAGACCCAGTCAACATCAAAGCCTATGCTCTTTCTACCAGACTGAGATGGAGCTCTCCGGGACACCCACTCCTATGGCATTGTGTGCCCCAGAGTGGGACAAAGAAAGAGAAAGCCAAGCAGCTTTGGAGGTCTCCAAACCTCCCGGTTTAGAATAAATCCCCCAATTATGCTTGAAGTTGGACAAGCTTTTGAAATCTCAACTGGACATTCTTTTCCCATCAAGTTCCTTGAAATTTCCCTTTAAAGAGCATCTAGGAAAAGCCACTCTCATTAGCCAGGGTCTGGCTTTATTTTCCTAATAAACAGACCTTTAGTCAGACAAAAGAGCCTCTTTTATTTTCAATCAATTCTTGAACATTTCAGCTGATTTTCTTCTATTTGGCTTGAAATTGTGATCTGGGAATGGCTGGTCCTGCAAATTGTCCTCCTATAAGGGAAGCCCCTTGAGGATCCTCAACTTGTTATTTTTAATCACTGTAATCTCCCTGTCAAAGGAGGCCATGGTTAGAAACAGAGCAGGCCTTTCAGAGCTTTCTAAAGCACAATTATTGCCAAGGGAGGGGGGACAGGGGAAAGAGGGAGGGAGAGTAGAGAGAAGTGGTGGGAGAGAGAAGGAAGTCAATATAGTACTAACAACTTGGAAAAGTTTGAATAATAATCTCCATTGGATCCTGGCTGGTGAGAAGAAACCCCATGCTTTCATATATATATATGAAAATATATATATATATATATATATATATAAGCAGTGACCATTTTAATCCACTGTAGAATACCTAAAGGAGATCCTGGGTGGGGGATGTGGAGAGCAGAAGCTATTCAGGGATGTACTGGAATTCTGGGGACAAAGATTTCAGGCAGGAAAACAAGCCATTGATTCCAAGGCTTGTGAGGGGCTCTAACTCAAGAAAAAGTAAAAAAGCAACTCGAACACCAGGGGAATGTTAACTCCCACAGCCCTGAGTCAATACCTGAGCAGAATGCATTTGATTTACTTTTAACATAATTATTCTAAGAAAGTATAAGCCAACAGAAAATGTCACAAACTAGGGAAGCACCCTTTTCTTCCTAACTTGGAGTGGCGGAATCAGATTTGCTAATCTCAGAGTATTTATTCAGAAGGCTGGGGCATGGTTCCTGCAACATCTTCCTTTCAAGATCTCTTAGGCACCAGAAGGGAGAAGAGGTGACCACAGGCCAACAGCCTGAGCGGGGAGTCACAGTCCAAAAGGCTAATGTTTAGGCTGGAAAAACCTGTAGGTGAAAGTCTAGTGCTCCCCTGTCCCCTAGTCCTGGTTCTCACCTCCAGGCAATGGACACTCTGGCAGTTGTGGAACCCCGCCAATCATGTGAATACCAGGTGCCCCTGCTCCCCAGGGTTGGGGTACCTGTCGCACATAGCTCAAGAGGGAGGATTTGTGTGGGAAGAAATGCCTGGTAAGACACTGGGCATGGGCCCCCCGACTTGCCTAAATCACCTAAAAATATCCTCTTGGGCTTATATTAATAATAATCTTAGGCTAGTGTGGAGAAATCATTCATTCATTCATTCCATTAATTCATGAGGACCCAGATAGCCACCTTTCACTGGTAGATTGTGCTGAGAACACCTTTTAATCACATACACACACATCAAAACCAAATCTGACTAGGCACACCCCTCCGTTATTAAACCAATAAGGGCCTCACATCCAACTCAAACAAACATGTACTGGGACCCTCAGGCACACTCATCTTTGTCAACTCCTTTACTCCCTACAACCACCAGAGCTGTTGGATAAATAGCTACTTTCACCGCCGGGAAATAAGTTCAGAGAAATTAAAGGACTTGCACAAGGTCACACGGCTACTAAAGCCAAGTCCCTCTGACTCTAAAGCTGCCTCTTTCCCTGCCACGTGGAGCTTGGGCGGGTTCCCCAGGGAAACCAGGTCCTCGGTTTTGGTGAGGCCTCAAGAGGCGAAGGGGGGTTCGCCGTCCTCCCTCCAGTCCACGGAGAGGACTGGCTGTCTCCCAACTCCTCGGAAAGGCTGTGGCCGCACCCGCAGCCCCGCTACCCCGCCGGCTCCCTCCCGGGCTGGCCGGGGGTTCTTTCTCCGCGCAGTACCGAGGGTCCCGCCGGCCGGCGCGCGGGGAGTCAGGGGGCTCGCCCTGCGCTGAGCGCCGCCACGTGCGGGGGGCGCCCGGACGCAGCTCTGGGAAGCTCCGGGTGGACAGAGTCTGGGACACGATCCCGGGGACATAATCCCGGAAAACCGGGAGAAGCGTTCCGGGAAGGGTAGCGCCTGCTTACGGTGAACTGTGCGGCGGGGACGCCCGCTGACAGTGGCCCAAACTTTCTCCAGTGTTCTCCCACCGCTTCCTCCCGCAGCGCTCTGGGAACCCGGAAGGCGGGGATGCAAGGGCGGCGGCTTCGAGCCCACCAGCTGCCCCCAAGACCCGCTCTTCCCTGCGAGGCACCAGGGCTGACTTACGAAGAGCCGGGCCTGGGGGGGGCGGGGCGGGGAGCAGGCAGCCCGTCACTCCCCGCCTGCGGAGTCCCAGCTGAGACCGGGCAGGCTTCCTTCCCTGCCTCAGGTCCTGTCTCCCAACTGGAGTACGGCGGGGAAAAGATGTCTGGGGGAGATGATGGGCTGCGGAGAGAGGCGGTGGGCGGCGGGGATGGAGTCAGGGGGCTTCAGGTCTGCGCGGGTCGAGCGGCTCTCCTGGCCAGGAGGCGCTCACCTGCCTGGACATCCCCTCCCTGCGCTCAGCCGAGGAGCGTAGGCGCTACATCCCTCAGGCGCAGAGCCTGGGGGTGGCTGGAGCCAGGGTCCCCCGACCTCCAGGGAGCAGGCCTCGGGAATTTGGGCTTCCCTTTCCGTCTTCACCGGGTTTCCCTTCCCATTTCGAACCCACACAGAGCTCCTCGGAGGCCCATTCCACTGGGAGCCTGTCCTAGAAATCCAGACTCTTCTCCCTCGCCTGGGACCATCGGAAAATTATTTGGAGTTCTTGCCGGGGACCCTTCCGAAAGCTTCAGGCTCTTCCTCCCCTCCTCCCCGTGCCCCGGGACCAGTCAAGGGAGAAGCCGAAGTCCCTTTTCCTGAAGGCATCTGTCCGAGGATACCGGGGTGACCATCTCGGGGGGGCTGCTCTGAGAGAAGCTGGTATCCTCCCCTTCAGGGACGGGAGAGGGGAAAGGCTGTCCCCCACCTGGTCTGGCACCCGACAGAGAGAAACCAGGGTTCCCTCCACTCCTGAGGCGGCTCTGGAGGAAGACGGGTTTCCACTGCTCTCCCGGAGCGGGCCGGGGTGGGGAGAAGCCAGGTTCCCTCCCAGCCAGGCCGGCGTGGCGCGTTGCCCGGCTGCAGCCCACGCCCGAGAACCGCGCGTCGGAGATGGGGCTGCCCCGCCGGGCTGCGGCCCCCACGACGGCCCCGGACGCGGGCTCGGGAGCCGCGCGGAGCTCGCGGCGAGAGGGGCTGAGGGCGGTCAGGACAGAGGGCCCTTGCCGGGCTCTGCCGGCACCGTGCGCCCGGGGACCATGCGCCCTCCTCCGGCACCGCGCGGTCGGCGCCCTTCCGGGGGCCGGGTTCCGCGCCCCCAGCGCCACGCCGGGCCACTTACCACGGTAGCTGGTTCCCGGCTTGTAGAAGTCGGGGTCGCCCTCCACGCGGAGGCTGAACTCGGTGTAGCCCTCGCGCCGCGTGCCCTGGGCGCGCAGGATGCGGCTGCAGTAGCCCTCCGACTTGGGCACTTTGTCCAGGGTCTCGTCGGAGAAGGCCAGCGCCGCGGCCAGGGGCAGCGCCAGGGCCAGCAGCGCTGGACTCCGACTCAGCCTCAGGGGCGCTGGGGACAGCCTCATCCTCGCGGGCGCTCAACTTTGTGCCGCTGCCGCTGGCCCTCGCCACGCGACGCCTGCCCGAAGGGGTCCCCGGAGAAGCGAGACCTGGCGGAGCCCGGGCGGGGAGCGGGAGCTCGGAGCCGGCGCCGGCAACCGGGAGACCGTGCGGGTCTCGGCTTGGCGGCTGCCGAGCTGCGCCGCGCTGAGCTGAGCTGAGCTGAGCTAGCGGAGCCGCGCGAGGAAGGGAGGGCGGCGGCGTAGGGGGAGGAGGGCGGGCTGATTTTGCCCAGATCCCCGAGCGCAGCGCTGTTTTGTTTCCGAGCTGGCGATTAGCTGCGCGGCCGTGTTTATTTTGCGACGCTGGATTCCCAGGGTCTGGCGAGGAAATCATAAGGCACGGGGACACGACGGGCTCTGTCCCACCACCAAGGAGGCTGCTGCCCCAACCCCAGCTACACCTTTGCACCCTGCGGAGTAACAAAACTAACTTCTGTTGCACACCTACTTTGTGCTTACAAGTATGCTGGGTGGGTGGCGAAGGGTATCTGCTCACCTTCTCGACTCTCCCTGCACACAACAAACATGACCTTACTTTCACTCATTTTACAGATGAGCAAACTGAGGCCTGCAGCTAAACAGTTAAGGCAGGGTCGGATGCCATGACTGTGTGACTCTATTGCTCTTTTGGAGCAGGTCAGACTGGAGGATGAGAAAGGAGCAGAATGACTCATCCAACTGCGCCCAGTAGGCACAGCGCCTACAGCCTGTAATATTTTTGGAGACTCCTGAAAATATTTTCTTTAAAATCAGAAGAAAAAAAAAACCATTTAGGTCTAATAAAATGTTATACTATATAATGTTAATATATTTCTACTTATACCTACGCAGTCATAAAATAGAATGTTTACTGTTGTTTTATGAAGGAAGGAGATCCCAAAGACAAAAGTGCCTAAGGCCCCCGGGGAAGTCCTCATATAGACCTAGAAAGGAGTTTCAAAAGGTTCAAAGAAGTCTGTGTTTTCTTGGCTTAGATTTTAGTTCAGGTTCTCAGTCCCCAGTAAGGGATGTTTAGAGAGGAACTGAGCCTGAGGCACCAACGCCAAGGCCAGACAGGAAAAGGCCCAGGTGAAGGAATCTCAACCAGTGTTCCCTGGGGACAGACTTGGAGCAAACCTTAGTCCTGCCACTCACCTTCTGTGAGGCGTTGGCGATTTATTTAGTCTCTCCAACCTCCAGTTTCACGCTCTGGAGGGAGTGTGTGTGTGTGCGCCTCCAGGCTAATAAGCCCTTCCTCTAGGGGGTGCTAGAGTCCAATGAAATGACCCATGTAAAACACCTGGCCTAGCCTCCATGCCCCGCCCCCCCCAATGGGTAGGTCTGGGCTGGTCCTGGGTACCACAGCCTTAAGGCCCCTGCCTCCCCTCAGTGTGCACAAGCATCCCTCTCCAAGGGCTTTCACAAGTTTTGGTGACCCCTCTTCCTCCCCCTGGGTCATCAACACATCTTAAATGCCTACATTTAAAAAGCAATCTCCTTTGCTTTCCAGGTCAGGTTTTTCCTCTTTGACATCACTAACTAACTGCCCAGAAGAGCTGTCTGCATTGGAAATCTCCATTCCTCCACACCTGCTCACTTAACTTTCCAATCCTTGTCCTGGGACTCCCGCTGAGACTATTAACTGAGCACCTTCTCTCAGAAGTCACCCACGAGTGCCCCCTTACTGAAGCCAATTCTGCTTTTTTTTTTTTTTTTAAGATTTTATTTATTTATTTGACAGAGAGAGACACAGTGAGAGAGGGAACACAAGCAGGGGGAGTGAGAGAGGGAGAA